TGTACTACAAAACGGTGGTCAGTACATGCCAATCTAATCAAAACGGTTCTCCGATGGTACCAGTGTTCCAGGTTCATGGGCACCAGCCCGAACTTGGAGATGAATGCGATTATCTCTTACAGGGTGGCAGCACTTATTTCAAATAACTGCATCAGTGAAGAGGATAAACCAGTCAAATAAACTGATTGCCGTAAAAACTTACACCAGGATGAGTCTTATATCTGTTCGCATCGTAAACGGTGCCACGTATTTGGTTACACGCACTAGCGTGATTAACATTTAAAGGAACGGCTACAATATGACAGCAGCGACATTGAGCTCGGCCAACGGATATTGATATGTGATCGCTCCAATTGAGCACTCTCTATTTAAGTGGTATTGCACTGCAAAACTCTTCATAAACCATCGGGTTTACATTAATCTGACCCCAATCCATGAGCTTTATTTTGTGATATCACTCTCGTATAACTTGATAGTGTGTATCGCATCACGACGAGACTGCACCTAGATGTGGTGTATGAGAAGATAAACATGGGTTTCTACGTGGTTTATCAATCGGCAGATGAAGTAAAGTATAGGCAAATAGCGCGAGACCAGACAATTCATGCTACAAACAATTACCTGACGGAACACGAACAGTTCACGACGTGTCATTGTGGTCAGCATTTGGGAAATAGGTCGATTATCCAACGCGATTCGAGTCCATATAAGCCGCAGATCATTCAAATCGATCAAAGTGGAGTGCACACCTGAAGGATGTTTGAGTGCACGGTGAAATGGTTTTTGATAAATCTGCTCAGAATAGCCTAACTAACAGAAAAAACGTAAACGACAACTACTAAAATTGCAAATGCTACCTTAAAAATATTATCAAACCATTGGGAACATATTCTGTAGATCGTGTGCAGTATCTATTATTGTGTAACGGTGATGAATTTGTATCACTGTCCAGTAGTAACATTCATAGAGTTATTGCTAATCAAGAGCGCCAGAGTTAGTAGTGATCAAAGTTTCCTAGTTTCTGGATTAAGTGTACAACTTGTACAGCTTGACCACAAAATAATGCCGGCAGAAGTTCCCGCATTAAATGGGTGCAAGAAATTCTCCTGAACAGTGTCAGTCAGTTTCATGAGCTCTCCAACATTGAAAGATTAAGATTTGGCAGAAACTAGCCTGATCTTGATCATTCGTGGGAGTCAAGCCCTTGTGGCTAAGTTAGTCAGGTATGGAGAACGAGGTAAACCAAAACCTACTGATTGTATTGGCCCCGAAAGCCTCAGTACGGTCGCGTGTGGGTGTTTTGGATTGTGGCCGGTCACTCTTCCCTTGCACTTCACCAAATGCTTCTATAGGATCAAGCGTCTCAAATAGCATCTGACGAGGAAGTCCCTCCTGAGGACGAAAGACCAACATTCGGGTTCAAAACTTGGTTGGTGCACCATTGGCAGTTTATCTAGGGGAGTTCGTACAAAACCCTGATAGCAAAGCAACCGAGAAGGGGCATTTGAACCGCACGCAGACATCTTACTAGTTATGAAAATGGTTACCAGCACTTTGGTCGTTTTACTCCATCCAAAGGGTATATGATCCGATGAATTGGACACCGGCTCTCAATAGATTGTGATTTTTACAAACCGCCCCGTTGGTTTGCTACGGCTGATCAAAGGTGGCAAATTCCCCCAGAAAGATAACCTACTTTGGCCTGGACAAGCTGACAGCTCCCCACGCACGAGCAAATCTTTGAACTGTTTCTTTTTTTCATAAAGATCACTGTACCGTGATTTGTTTAACACAGTCTGAATTCAGACGTATGTGAAAACATATCCTCGTTGCAATAGAGAGAGCCGGTCGACAGTCAAACGTGAATTGGTCAAACTCAAAAGCAAGTCACGCGAAGGTTTGATTACACAGTAAATCCTCGACCGCACAGCAGGATGATGCACGATTCACGTAGTTGGATCATCTCCAACTCTCTCGTGCAGACAACGATCAGCGGCACGCCTCTTCAACCGTGTGATTTTTCTAGTGGATGTACTCGGTCGATAAAAACAACGTATCAACCTGCGGCTGTGGTTGGATTACCCCAGCTTTGTCTTGTAGTTAGCTGTAAATCGTATGCGGGACTGTGGCTACCGCCTTATTTGCTTCGGGTTGTCTTGACNGACCATTGTCTCGGGCGTTATATTTGTTCACAACGCTTGCGTAAATGGTTAGAAAAAGGCCCGTTGTTCTGCGGATCAGTTGCTGTCGCCTGCCGGCTGTTAACTTACACCACATTGCGAACTTCGCAATGAGTCTAATTGAGGGGTAGGCAAGAAGAATACTCGGAAATATTTGTTTAATCTGTATTCGCTGTCTGCACACACACACACACACACACACACACACACACACACACTCTCTACATATTTGGTTGTCCTCCGTTTGACCCACGATGGCAACTGGGCATAAGTCCAACGACAAACAATCTGTACCGGTTCAATAGTCTTTCATCAGTCGATAAAAGAGCAGAAATTACTCAACAATTGGTTTAAGTGAGACAGATGGGACAAAGCTGAACTGCATTATCTTGATTAGTTTGATGTGCTGTTCATTTCAAGGATTCAAATTATATATTTTCCTATTTTTCTATTACACACTTCCGTATGATGAACAGCAGACGGGGAAAGCCCCATAGTCACGAAGACCTGTTAATCAGTGATGGAAACCGGTAACCTAAGCCCCGGGAATTGGAGTGGTGAACCACACATGGCCCTGATAGGTTAGATGTGGTGGTGGACCGGATGACAGCAGAGTTGCCCTCATCCAAAGTTAGGTGGCGGGGCTGGAACCTCGAACCATAGGGTCCAGAGCACGCCTGTGACAGCAATTAAACCACTGCACCACCATCACCGACATATGGGTAAATCAAACACGCGGGGGAAAATAATTGGTATTAGATGACAATCTTCTTTGCATTGGTTGTATAATCTGTACGCTAGATAGTGGTAAAAACCGCTCACCATTTTTAAACATGGCATAATTGCGAAACGATCGCGGGTGCCGATTTTCCCATTTTCTTTCCAACCGAGCAACAATTTTTTGATATGATGCAATACTTCCCGTGATCAGTTTGTTTACGAATGCTCGAGGCATTGCGAAACCACAAGGGTTGGTCTTACGGCAGG